CCAAATCCCTGCGGTAAACAGAGCCAGGAGGTTTCAGACATTATCATCATTCTAACAAAGATGAACAGCCGGAGGATACCTGTCTCATTTATCCGCCATGAAATAGCACTAATTCAAGCACACTGCAGATCCAGTCTCACAAGCATCCTGGTACTATGCCTTCCTATTCTGGTCTCATTCGCCTTCCCCATCCGTTTTACTGTTCTTCAACTATTCTAACCCTGGGCCTCTCAAAAGGACAGATTGCTGAACGTACCAAAATATGTGATGAACTTGTTAAGAGCACTAGGGCGAATTGCAGAACTCTAAACTCCAAGAATAGAGAATACCATTGCATGGACTGTCAAAATACAGTCTCATCTGGGAAGCAGATTCTGAGCCATTCATATTTCTGGAGACAGGCCTAGTAAAAGCGAAACAAGTTAAAGTAAAAAGTAGCTAACAAGGCTTAAGTAGTGAGCACTAGCTTGACAGAAAGGCAAATAAAAATGCTAGTGTACTTCTAGAATATTCACCTCTGGGACTAGTTGAGAATGGGAATTCCTCAATCTGCAGGATAACAACCCTAATATACAGTATTCAAAATACTTAAAAGTAACTTTCTTCCAGGAGACAAACTGAATGGCAGAGTAGCTTGTCCTTGAGATATGGGTGGCAAACACTTCCATGAGACAAGTGGGGTTTGAGGCTGAGTTATCTGAGATTACTGCCAAGTGATTCAGAGCAAATGCAGAGAGGCAACAACCCTTCAGTGTAGCAGTGCTTTATGTGGGAGATGCATAGAGGATCAACTTAATGGGAGTCAGTGGAGCAACACTGAGGATATGCTTAGCTCAGGTGTAAAAGATAATGCTGCATTTTGTAAAAGGCTGGGCTCAGCAAGCATTCTTCTCAGCATACCTGAGAAGAAGACCTGTCTATTCTGAATCTCTGATAAAACATGCTATACTCCATCACGGTTTTAGCCCAGAAGTCATCCTTATCTGCTAAGAGAACCTGGGATCCAAAACACCATTCAGCCTGCAAAAGCTAGGGTTAATGCAAATTCCTTAAGGTAATTAAATAGAGCAAATACAGGAACCGCTCATTCTGGGAAAACACTGTTCCACAACCTGCCAACTCCTATTTTCAGCCAGCAGTCAGCTTTGTTATGACCCAACCTTACTAAAGGTAAGAGACTAAAGAGACATATGTTGCCTGAACAAGGGAAACGACACCCCAGACTTTAACCTCAGATATAGCCTATCCTAACCTGCTAGCGCCTATGCTCTCAGCAGTCACGTGCTATGCTGCAAGGGGACAGATGCTGGCACTGTATACACATAACTGTGAGAACAGAAGCAAAGTAGGTGCAACTCTTCAAGTGACAAGTGCAGTGCTTTTCAGCTTCCTCTTAGTCAGAAGGAAGAAGAGAGGTACTGCTGGTGGTACTGGGAGGCAGCACAGCAGCCAAATGATTAACTGGATCCTATCAAATTCATCTCTCAGCCTAATTCAGGACTACTCCTGGCACAGTGCTTAATCCAACCTAATCTGAACTGTTCCAAGCAACATAACTTCCACCTCTCTGGGAGAGTGGAATAATTTCACAAGTTAGATTCCTAACATCTTTGGAAAATTCAACCTGATTATCAGAAAATATTTTCTATTACATAATACCATACTCCTCCTTTCCTGGGACCAGGCTAAACAGTTATTCTCTGTCCTTTATCTTTATAGTCTTTGCAGAGGAGTTATTCTTTGCCGAGTCAAAATTAAGGATGCCATGTCAGGGCCCAGCCACAGTATCTTTTGCTGAAGTTGGTGGAAACTGCAAGAGATCACATGCTCTCCCATGTTATACTCTGCTGAAGGTGCATAAAAGCTGGCTGTCACAGCCAACAGATAAATGTCCTACAGATTTTTCCTCACGCTACATCAGATTGTCTGCATCTGGAGTCCCAACAAAAAGCAATACCCTATATTCCCTAGATACTTACATAGAAAACGCAGATTTTGTTCCCTTTGCCTATCTAAAACACACCACAGCAGAGCTTTCCTGAGGGAGTGGTCATTTCTTTCTTTGTACTTCAGGAAGCTAGGCCAATTTCCCAAACTAGGTCTCAGCCATAATAGCCACCACCTATGACACCGATTCAGCTGTGCAAGCTATAATCCCCAGCATGGCTTTCAGGGTTTCTGCTCTGGCAGGCTGCACGCCATACCTATGAATGACAAATAGGCAGCGTTTGTATAGCTCATGGGAATGGGAGGCATGGCTAGCTGGCATTACCTTCCTTTCGGAGTTGAGAATGGGAAGTGGCAGAATATAAATATGTTTTTAAGCACCACCTTTTTCTCATTCAAACAGACTGACTGATATAGATGAAGTGGGCTGAAAGAGGTCCTTCAACTCACAGCAAAACAAGGCGTTACAGCTTTTTGAAACATGAGCCATGCTGGCAGCAGATGGCAGCAGCTGCATCTCATGCGTGCTCCACTGTCAGCTCCAGCATCAGGGATTTATCATCCAGGATTGAGGCAACACAGGCAACAGTGAATAATTCCAGATGGGAAGAAGGGGTGTTTTGCCAGCAGAGATCTCCTCCTCCCCAGTAAATGTGTAACAATTGGTTGGTCCTCAGCAAGTTCTCTGCCCAAAAGCATACTGCTCAAGTGATACACTTTGGAACAGCTCAACCTGCAGGTATCACTGCTCCTCCAGTAGGGCCACAGGCCTACCTAGGCACTGCAGAGATCTTGGCAAAGGGTCTAGAGAAACAGTACAAAGCTGCCAAAGGACAGCAAACACAGAGCTGGCAAACACAGAACTGGCAAAACAGACCATGGCTAATTGATGTGAAATAACTCCAATACTCATGAATTTATGGTAACCTCCCATTAAGGACATCTGATCTTTATGTATCTTAGATAGAGATAGCAAATGACACTGCAGATCAGTATTTGACAAGGTGACCCTCAGTTTCTGCCTTCATCCAGCCTTGTAGGTTTTCAAAATTAACATTAGGTCAACACCAAAGAGTCTAGAACCTCATTCTGATCTCTGCCCTCTGCACAGCTCCCATACCCCTTAAGTTTCATTTTCATTAACTTTCCAGTGGGACAAAACTATCATGAAAAATACTTCTGTTCTAGTCTAGCATTTTCTTTACTCTTTCCAGACTGGCAGCCAGGGCACTACAGTGACAGGTAGCGACTCCAGACTGACTCCTGCCACTGACCTACTGCACGACCTCGCTGTAAGGCACCACCATTCTGCCGCTTGCTTTCTGAATCTGTTACGAAAGCATGTAAAAACAAAGAAAAAATTCTTATCCAGGTTTGCAAATCCGTTCAAGATCTGCAGATGAGAAGAGCTAGAAGTAGTGCTGAGTATTATGATCCTTCTAGCAGGCAGAAATCCCAGAAACAAACTGTGGCAAACAAAATATAGAGAAATAGATCAACAGCAAGACGATTTCAGTTGGTTCAGATCCAATTTCTTACCAACATTAGGACTGATTTCCATTTCAATCAAATTTGCCTGCATATTCCTTGTGTTCGTGACAAATGATGACCATAAGTTCATACTCGGTTACTTTCAGAAACTAACACATTTCATTTGTCACAGTAACTGAAGTGACAGTAAAACATTTTGATTCTGAACAGTATACAAATAAACGGGGAAAAGGAGCTGTTACATGCTTCCGAGTCTACAAACACTTCTCCCTGACAGACAAAACAGAAAAAAAACATGGAAAGAAAAACACTGTCTGCTTAAAGGAAAAGATGAAGCCCAGGGCCTGATTTAGCTTCCTATTGTTTTCTCAGTTATGAGTCAAAATCCTGAAAAATGTACTAGATATCAGGAAAGGAAGAGAGGACATTGCACAATACTGGATTCCACTCTAAAATCTGCTGGGTACATTTGAATTAACTCTAGTAAGACAAATATAAGTCTGGATTTGAACAAGCACCCGATAGAGGATATGGTGTTGGGGTTGTGTTTTTGATTATGGCTTTTTATTCACACAATGACAAGAAAAATCTTTTAAATGAATGGCCTTGATTAATACCCACCAAAAAGTTCAAGATACCATAAATATGACTGGCTTATCACAAGGGAGGCCAAACACAACCCTCTCCCCTTTCTGAATAGGTACTCCAAGAGCAAAATGACGCAAAGATACCCACTTCTTTGACTGCTTTAATGATAGGCATAAGCACCAACAAACATTTATTTCACACGACAAGAGAAAGCCAGAATAGCTTAATTTTTAAAATGCAACTGGGTCAGTAGCTGCCACGAGCAGAATAAATGAGCTACATGAGTGACTATGCCCTAAGGAAACATTACCCTGTGGACCTAACTCCTGCAGCTTAGGACAAATAGGCCCTTTTAGAGCAGGATTTTTAAAAGCGCAAAGTGATTTGGGAATACAAGTCCCATAGGTTTTCACAATGCTCGAGAGCACTATCTCTGGGCTCTTTTGAAAATTCTATCCCTAAACTGTTCTCAGCTGCACAAGGTAGAAACCCCTGGTGATACTTAGCTCATGAAGACGAGCAAGTTCTAGCAATGCGCATATAGGTACCATCGTGTAATCAAGGATTTTCAAATCTCTATAATCATCAATTAGGCCTCCAAACATCCCAGTAAGCTAGAGAAGTACTGTTCCCTTAATTATACCAATAAAAAAAAAAAAAGAGCTATGGATAACTCAAAAGACCAATTTAATTAAAGTTACACAACATGTTAAAACTTGGTGCTTGGGAAGAGCACCCAAGCCTGTACTCCCATAGCTAAGCTCTTAAAACTAAACAGTTCTCCCTCCCCTTACATGACTGCAGCACAGTACAAGCAACCGACTTTTGTAAAGCTCAATGCACACTTCACAGGGAGCAGGTACACTCATGAATATTTGCACGGGTCATTATTATCTACAGTCACCGAGCTACCTGTAAGCAACAGAACGTACGTCTTTGCACTGTCAATTAAACAGAACCGTTGTTGCAATTACCCCTACTAAGCGGCCTGTTCCGGCTCCGGGATCTGCTTCGCTGTCTCTGAAGTCGTGACCTCCGGAGCAGTCGATAGTAGTAAGACGGTCTCCCAGAACTTTTCCTGCTGTTCATTGACATTTTTGTATCTATTTTACACATACACACATGCAGGCACAGGTTCACTCTCCCCCTCTGGCAAAGTAGCAACAGTTCCAGCGTTTAATTAACAGGAGGTTGGTTCTTTGGAGTGGAAAGGGGGAGTGGGGAAGAGGAATTCTTCACTTTATACATTTAAAAAGAAAAACAACAGCAAGAAGAAAACAAAAAAAAGAGAGAGGAAAAAAAAAAAGAACGCAGCACCACGAGTACATGTCTCAGCAGAGGGAGGACTTGCAGCGAGCAAGATAAACTGTACTAACAATTCCTGCCCCCAAAAAGATAAGCCTGCTGGAGTTGGAATAGGAAGCCAGAGTTGGCCTGGGCTCTTGAAAAAACGAAGGAAAGGCTGGAAGAAATCCTGGACTGGATCATCTCCACTGGACAGCAACATCTGATCAAAGCGTACCGGCAAAGGTAAACATCTTGCTGCATGAAAATGTCTGGGCAGCCTTAGTTTCTACCTGCCCCAACCTTCAGATCATTTCGGAGATGGGAGTTTCAGGCAGCTTGGTTTGCAGCAGGAGATATCTACGAAAGACTGGAGTGGGGAAGGGTATAATGATTTCCTGACCATGGGACACATGTTAATAATCATCATGGAGCACAAGCCCCAGAAAATAAAGTGAAACTTGAGAGGGGAAAACTTTAATTAGAACTTGAATGAACAGAGCTTCAGACTCCCCTGGAGGCCCATTTCCTTTCAACATTCAAAATGAGTTATAGCACATCCCACGAAAGAGCCTATGTAGCATTCGGGTTCTGATGGCAGTGAAGATTCTGTCTTCAGCTCATATTGCTCAATAAAATTACATTTCAATGGGCAGAATTAACACTTTAAGCCATGGAGGAAAGGAAAAGAAAAAAAAAAAAACAGAATAACCAGATAAAAAATTTCACTCCGTATTTACAGTAAGATGTGAATTGTCCAGAGTCTTTCATCTGGGCTCCTTCCCTTGCTAGCACAGAAATGCTCTGAAGAAACAGCAGTAGATAAATTTTAGAAGATCAGGCTGCTAGCCAAGAACTTAATGGGCTACCTTTTCTTCTCTGAAGCTGGTATTTACACTCCAAGATAACACAAAAGCCTGATCAGAGCGGAATGAACTCCTGGAAAACAACATCTGCACAATACCTTACTGGTGTTGTACCTTCAATAGCAAAAGGCAGAAATTATCAGTCTTCAGTACCTTCACTGCAACATCTCTAGTTAGTGCTTCATTCACTGAAGGAAAACTGTAGTTCCACAAGAAAGAGTCCCTTCCTCACTACCAACAATCCACTGTAATTTCAGAACTTCATAAACTTGTGTAGTCATGGAAAATGTTAGAATTTTACAAAATCCATTTTTATTTTACATACTGAGTAGTAAAAACATGACTATTAGTTGAGAAAGGCCCTTCCAGGAGAAAAAATAAGTCTCAGTCTTTAGTAAAATCCATGTCTGGTTTTGAAGCCACACATAAAGAATTCAAGCCAGCTTTTAGACAGTGCAGGAATGAGCCAATCAACAAGGCAATGATAAGTTCAGGTCAAGGAAGCAAGATCCCAGCTGGACAACAGAGGCTCCCACTGCCTTGTACCAGGGGGATGTTACACCAGGACATTCCACGGCCGCTTCCATCCAAACGCACCATCACTCAGCAAATCATGCAACACATCACAACAAAAGAGGAAAAAGCTTCAGTTGCTACACAATCTGCCTTCATATTTTCATCCAGACTTTTTGTTTTGATATTTGAGTAGATGTAAAAACAAAACAAAATACAGAAACACCAAAAACATTTTCCAGAAGATTAGAGATTCATCCTATGCAGTCGATTCAATGCACAAATAGAGCTAAGAACTTGTATAAGATAGTGATGGGAAAGTCTGAAAATATTGACGTATCACAGGCAAGAAGCCAAATATTCGGGTGTCTCTCCGCGTTTATGTGTCCTAATAATTGAGCTGGTAATCTCTTATGAGAATCTTTATAAGATTACGCTTTAGATCATTAGAAATGCCTTGAAAATAGCCTATCCAATTTATTTTTCCTTTTGTCATTCCCAACAACAAAAAGGCAGAGAGGGAAATTAAAGTTTAAACAAAGATGTTATTTAAAAAGCTCACCCAAATTCAGAGGGTCTGAAAGGGTAAGGTTCACTTAGTTTGGTTTTGCTTAATTGGAACCAGGTGGCTCATCCTCAAACCACCTGGGATGTTGGTGAGATAGTCACTGGTGATCGTGCCAACCTCTCTGAACAGGTGGGAATGATCAGGAGATCTAGGGTGATGGGCCTGCTTTCATTGTGCGTTCACTCACATGTACTTAGGCATCTGTTCCATGTTGAGGGATTTTTTTAAATCAACCTAATACCTCCAAGAAATGTTCATGCAGGTGACCAGAAAACAGGAGAAGTTAATGAGGGACTATAAACTATCATGACAAGAGAAAGCCTTATAATAAAAGCACAAACGGCTGGGAGCTTTGTTCAAGTTTAGCGAGCTTGCCTCTGTTTCTCTCTCACTGCCTCAATGTTTTTGAAGGCATTAAGTTCAGCTGCTACACAGCAGCAAGCAACAAAATGAATGACCCATCTGGGAGGGAATGTGGCTGGTCTGGACCTTTCCAATTAATCTAGAGCTGCCTTCCCCTCCCCCCACTTTTCTTGAAAGCCACATCCTGACACAAACATTCTTTTGTGTACAGCAGAATCTACCACGTGCAAATCTGAGATATATTAACTGCCCTGGAGAAAAGCTGACAACCTTAAAATTTCTATCTCTAAAATGACACATCACAGTCTGGCCAGGCTGTTCCCTCCAAAAAGCAGCAGGATGAGTTCAGTCATTGGACTCTACTGAATCTCTCAATAAGAGGACCAAATTGAGCCAAATGTAGCAGTGATTTCTTAGGTGCTAACCACCATACACTGAACAGAAACCTAACTCATGAAATTAAATATCCATCCGACCTGCAACATCCAGTTGACCTGTCCTCCCCTGCCGTATGTTTGCGTTATCTTATTATTAAGCCTTCCTAAAACTGGACTTATTTCACTTCTTTACTAAAACTAACAGCACATGCATAAATTTTAAATTAGCACCAAAATAAGTTCTAAGATGGAGAGCTACACAATCAGTGGTGTGTTTGCTTTGACATCAAAGGGGCAGCAGTTGCCTGAGGGTTTGCTCAGCTACAGTGGGGCTGTTTGGTCCATGGAAGCTGACAGAAGACATCCCTCCCCAGTGGCTAATACTTGGCTTTTTTATCATTTGTTTATTGCTTAGTGCTGGGGAAATAATGACTGCTTTTCAAAACCCACATTCCCAAGGCAGCTCCTACCATTAAACCTCTCACTTTCCCAAAGGGCTTTAGAGGGAAACAATTATTAACTCTCTGTGATTTTATGGCAAAGAATTTGAATTCTTTATTCTTAAAATGAAAGTTCCAGTGCTTGGTCATTACATCCAAGTCCTGGCCCCAAATGCTCTATTTGCAAAGGTATGAGACCACACTAGCTTCTCTACACAATTAATTAATGGCCTCTTAACTTAGACTGCTTTCTAGAGGACAACAGTTTTAGTTAATTTTATTTCAGTTTTGCAAATTCTTTCTGAAAGAACTAAACTGAGACTTTCAAAAGTTTAAAAAAAAAAAAGTTGTTCCTTAGCTGGTACAGAAAGGACAAGTGGTGGACATTAGCACAATTTCTAGTTTGCACTGGTCGGTATCATCAAGATACTGAAAAAAATCACTGGCTGCAGCCTGTCATAACTACACTGCTTCTGAGAAATAATTATATTTCTTTCACAGTCTGAGGCAAAAGGAATAAGGGAATAATCCCTAAACATACTTACTTACCTTTTTAGACATAAAAGAAATATAACAATATTCTTACAGGATCATAGACACTTGCAGAATGTGTCTGCTTGAATTTGCTTACAAGTTCAGTGCAATTTTCAGTTTAGCATACTATGAAGCTGGACTATTTCCAGGCTTATTGCCTCAAGGCTACCAGGAATACATAAGTTCATATGCAAAGCCAGAGAGGAAAATAATTTCCTTTGTATAAGGGTAACTTACTTTCAATTCAGCTATACCAACAGAAGTAGAACAGACTTGGTTTTCAAGCAGCAGTGTAAAAGAAGTTTGTGCTGAAAACATTCAACTCTAGCCTTCTTCATGTCCTAACCTCCCAACAGTTAGGTTTTCCAAACCTATTCTTTACCTCATCAGAAAGGACCTTTCAAGAGAGGACCTCCATGAAAAGTTTACCTGCTGCAATCTGAGGGTGAGTTTCTATGCTTCTACACCTGACCTTTGAGGAAAAACAAAACAAAACAAAGCAAAACAAAACAAAATAGAAGGAGCAACATTGTTAAGTGATTCCCAAGATCACCTTCCAAAAAGGAGAATGTTCAGAAAGACATTAAAGAAACAAGTAAAGCATGCTCAGTCTCGAAGACAGACTGGAACCATCTAATAAAAAAAAATTAGAATAATAAAAGAGTCAGAAAAATGTGTAACTAAAGTTCTTCTGATCAGGTAAAATGCACTTGATTTAAAAGTTTGTTTAACATAAAATAATATAGCATTTTCCAGTTTTTAACTAAATTCCTTACAAAATCTTCAGTGAGATTATTTGTTTGAGGACTTAAAAAGGAAAGTTTCATATTCCTTACCACCTTAGGTGAAACGTAGCAGCTTTCTGCAAGCCTCGCAACAAAACATCATAAAGAATTTGAATGAAAACGAGAAACAAACCTTTACATTAACTTTAAACACAGAATTTATTGCTTTCCACTTAAAGAATAGTGTCATAGCTACCAGGACTCTATGGAATACTCTTGCAGTCTGTACAGTGATGAAATCCAAATGTGAGTGGGAAAGTATTCATTATACATAATATAGATAATTAAGGAGTAGAAAAAGCAGTGTCGTAGAAAAAAGGCAAGAGGAAGAATGTGTGTCTGGATAATTTAATATTAAACAAGCGTTTAGGAAGTCTTATATACGTTACACTAGGGGATGTATTGTTTATTATTATTATGGTTACTATATATTTACTATGGTGGTGCCTAGAGATCCCAAACAAGATCAAGGTCATATTGTTTTTAGAACTGTATATACCACCAAATAAGACCACCATTGTCACTCACAAAAAAAGAAAGCAAGAGAAATACAAATAGAGGCTAAGAACCCTCACTGTAACTCCCCTCAAATTTGTCTATCAACAA